CCCTGGGGGATGGGGGCGGGGATGGCACGGTGAGCCAAGGGAGGGCAGGGGCGGGGCTTGTGCAATGAGCTGGAGGTCAGGGGGCGGGGCTTTTTCGGTGAGCCGTGGGAGGGCAGGGGCGGGCTTGCTCTCTGCTTTAAGTTTCAAGCTCCCTTGTGCTGTTTATAAAGTTACCTAGCATTAGGTATGTTTCTCGGCAGCATGGCTGTGAATTAACATTGCATGTCCATCGCCTAACACGTGATAATTATCTTTTTTGTTTTTATGAGATGGAACCCATGCCTGACACTGCTAAGGTGGTCTGATACTAGGTAGGCCAGGGACCTAGAGGAAGTCCAAATACTGTTCTGCCAAAGGAACATATAGCAATAAAGCAATGACATTCTGCTGTACCCCTAGGTCAGTGCCTCGGTCGGCCAGCATCAGAGAAGCTTCCCCCTACAGCAGATGGGAACAAATGCAGAGAACCAAAAAGGAACAAAGTGCAGAGTAAGAGACAGAATACTCAGTCCTAAATGGACCATCTCCATCAAAACCCTTCCCTTAGGGAACCTTATGGAAGAGGAGGCAGAAAGTGTAGGAATCGGAGATGATGGAGGACACCAAAGAAACGAGGCCCAGGACCAACACACATGAACTCAGATACTGTGACAGCATGCACATTCCCTGGATGGGTCTAAGCCAGTTGGTGTCCTAGAGCTGAAAGAAGCTAACATATGCCCTGCCCCCACCATCCCTAGACCAGCAGTTATCTCTGATTGATAATCGTTTTCAAAAGAAAAATTCGTTTTCTCCAATGGAACATCACTGGAGATACAAACTACTCTTAAGGACAGACTCCATGCCCAGCAATAAATGTCCAACACAAAACAAACTCAATGACATTTTTGGAGCTTCCTTGACTCATAATGCTTTGTCTGGGCATTAGCTTCATTAGCTTTATTTTGTTTTTTCTCCTTATAGGTCTTTTGAGTATATTTTATGGTTTCCAGTGTTATGTTTTTATATTTCTGTGTGTGTGTCTGAGTCTATATGAGCTTCTTGTACCTTTGGTTTCCTCCTGGTAGTTTGTTTGCTTCATCCTATGCTGACTTTTCTTTATCATATTTTATTACTATTTTTAGATGCCTGCTTATATTCTGATGAGAGAAAAAAAGTGGGTGGGGAGATTTGAGTGGGTGGGGAAACAAAGAGGATCTTGGAGGAGTTGAGGGAAGGGAGACCATAATCAGAATATATTTTATGAAAAGAAAATGTTTTCAATTAAGAGACTGGAGTTAAGTGTACTGGTTGCCCTTGTAAAGGGCCCAGGTTATATTCCCAGCTCCCATATGTCAGCTCAAAACCATCTATAACTCCAGTTCCAAAGAATCCAATGCCTCTCCTGACCTCCACAGGCTCCTGAATGCATATTGGTGCATATATGTACACTCAGGCACACATATACAAATATAAAATTATGTGTATGTGTGTATTGTTCCTTAGCAGCTTTCCACCACATATATATGTGGAATGATTTATAATACTTTTTTTAAGGTATGTTTTTTTTGTTTTGTTTTTGTTTTTTTGAGACAGGGTTTCTCTGTAGCTTTGGAGACCGTCCTGAATTCTCTCTGTAGACAAGGCTGGCCTCCAACTCAGAGAGATCCATCTGTCTCTGCTTCCCGAGTGCTGGGATTAAAGACCTGTGCCACCACCACCCAACAAAATAGATCATTTCTTAATTCAGTAGAAAGGTCCACAAATATTTCATTATGTCGGAGGTTGTTTATTACTCTTTTTGCCTTTTTGGGGGGCCTGCCACGCAGCTCCCAAGCAAATCACACATGGAGGCTTATTCTTAGTTATAAGTGCCCAACCTTAGCTAGGCTTGTTGCTAGCCAGCTTTTCTCAACTTGAATTAACCCATCTACCTTTTCCCTCTGGGCTTCTATCTATCTTACTTCTGTATATCTTACTTTCATTCTTACTCTGTGGCTGACAGGGTGACTGGCCCCTGCTGTCCTCCTTTCTTCCTCCTTCTGTTTATACTGTCTGCCTGCCAGCCCCGTCTATCCTTGCTCCTGCTAGCTACTGGCCAATCAGCTCTTCATTAGGATCACCAGGAGTTTTAGACAGGCACAGTAACAAAGAATTAAAGAGATGCAACATAAAAGTCACACAGCTGAAAATAATATTCTATCACAGTTTTGCTTTGTTTTCACTGAGATAGTAAGTACTAAAGAAAACATTAGTTTTAAATTCAGGCATATATAAGAGCCTTTAAGCCCTAGACCCAATAACATGTACAATTTCTGAACTTTAGTTTTCTGCAATGCAAGGTATATAGATGGTAACTTCCAGTGTTGTGAGAAAGTACTGCCTAACAAATTTTGAAACATTCATAATGTTGTATATACCTTTGCTTTGCTTTGAAATGTGTTCAGGGTAAAAATATCTAGAGTAAAAATAAACAGTAATGTGAAGTCAGGATTCATGGCCAAACATAACTATTTATTAAGGTTTTTTTTCTTATAGACATTTTCTTCCTTTAAAAAAAAGAACCTAGAATTTAAATACCTCCCATTCCACCACATAGAAGACTGTGTACATTATTTACATCTCTCAAATAAAACATATTACAGGTTTTCTATCATTCAGTATTTCCTTTAAAATAACAATAATGAAGCAATTAAACTTTGATCAATAACTACAATTTGCATAATCTTAGTACAATTTACAATATGGCGTCCACTTTGCAGTTCATATTTTAGACCATTTTTTTCCCATCTAACTACCTTACTAGAGAACCTGTTCCGCATGAGAACAGACGCTCATCTCGGTGCGTATCTTAAGCAAGTGCACAATTCGAATGCTGCCCTTCCGCCTCCATCAATTGTTACTGACAGTATTTCTGATTTTTGTCATCAGAAATAATTTCTATTCTGATTTTAAATGTTCCCCATATTTTCTATTTTCATGACACTATTTCTACCAATTTTAAATAATACCTTAAGTGTATAGGAAAAAGGTCAAATAGAACAAAGGTTTTCCCTAAAATATTAGTGATTTCACCACCCTGGATATGCATATACAAAAATAACAAAATTTAGTAGCTGTAAAACTATTTTCCCTAAAAATAGTTATTTCTGCAAAACAATTTAAGGGGAAAAGGTGTTCTGAAATGACAATGCACTAATGTAATTGACAACCTATCCAACTATTTCCAAAAACAAAAATGCAAATTTGTGCAAAACAAGAAATATCCACCTATAAGAATAATTATGGAGCCGGGCATTGGTGGCACATGCCTTTAACCCCAGCACTCGGGAGGCAGAGGCGGGCAGTTCAAGGCCAGCCTGGTCTCCAGAGTGAGTGCCAGGATAGGCTCCAAAGCCACACAGAGAAACTCTGTCTCGAAAAACAAAACAAAACAAAAGAATAATTATGAAAGAAATTAGAAAATTGCCACTTTATATCACCAATAACTGCAGCTTTGATGACATAAAAAAAAAAACCTGCCAAGCAAACAAAAGAAAACCTATATGTCGCCAACACTTCAGAATTACTAACAATGATGAACTGTAACATCAGCCTTGAGTGCATGTGAGCAGGTGTATGTGGCAGATGGGAGTGGGAAAACACAGATCTGTAAAGGCCAGTGTTTTCACTTCATGTTTGAGACTGTGTAGCACTATATGCAAGAGAGAGGAAAGGAGGGAGGGGACCTGCACAAGGAACTTTCGCCACACACTTATAAAACTGAGGGCCCAATATTTTATTTTGAAGTTTCGTCTCTTTTGTCAGAATACAAATCAGTGGTAGACAGAGAGGATGGCAGTCTCATACCTTCAAAATGAATTCTCATAGATGAACTTCTGAGGAAAGCCTTAAAAATTCAAACCATTTGAATTCAGAATCCTGTTGCATGTCTGTTGTTTGTTAAACTTTCCTATTAAATCTTGAAACAGACCTCTATTTATTACTCACATATAATCATGCTGGTAACAGAGGCTCCTATGGTAAATATCTGTTATGGCAAAACCCTAATGCTTAAAGTCCATTAGGGGCAAGACTGGGCTGAGTTTATAAGTGGTGTATTCTTTAATATGTCACGTAAGTTTTCAAAATAAGATGTTTTCCTACTATGCAATCACATTCCAAATTACACATAAACTTTCAATTTAGTATATTTTCAAAAAACAATCAGAATTTAATGTTATGAACGATATGTGCTGAATACTTATATCTTTTTAAATGTATTCATGATAGGTAGGTTAAAACTTTGCATAATAATAAAATTTTATCACATTTTTCCTGTACATCAACCTCTACTCTTTAATTAAAGTCAGATTAAAAGAAAAACCTATTTAAAATAAAACAGAATACAACAGAGGTAAAGAGTTTGTTTCTTTGAACTGCTATTTTAAATACTGCATCTACTTTTTCATAGTATTCTCTCAATCAAAACTATCCTACACAATTCAAAAGTTTTAAGGAAAAGAGAGGGGGGAAAAAACAGAGCAAGTTCTAGAGAAAGACCTTAAGTTTAAAATTCAGTTTAAATACAAAGTAATTAAACTGAATTTTAAAAAATGTTTTAAAAATGTTTTCACATGTAAATGATGGTTCCTATTTCCAATTGTGACATCGGTAAAGTATTCTATTCTGTGACGCAGTCAATGTCTATAGCAGTCTTCTTCAAAGATTTAGAGCCTAAAAGATACTCGTGATTACCACACAGGCTTGGTTCTCAGGGAAAAGCCAAGTTAGTGAACTTGATTTAGTAATTAATGTGGGTTCTATTAAGCTCTGAATATTGTTTTTGTGCAACTGAAAAGATAAAACTGCTTTTTCTTACATAGTCATAAGCCAATTCTTAAAGCACCTATGATACATTACAAAGTTCTAGAAACATACTTTGCAACATAATTGAAATAAACAGTGGCCCAAAGAGAACTGCTTTGAAAGTCAACCTCATTTGGACATTAAGGTACAACATATTCATTTTAAAAGAAAATCCCACAAGTTAGTATTTGTATCTTATATAATCTGCCATTTCAGTGGTTATCAAAACCTCTCTCAGAGAGGGTGTAGACAAAGCTATAAAAGAAATCTGTTGTTTTGCTATTTTTCCCATAGCAAGGAAAATGCTCAATACATAAAATGGAACCTAGTGAGTATATATACAAAATATAAATACCATATTTCTATTTTCTGGGAAGAGATTGTAGTGCTTCATCGATCCTGATAATCCAGGTAGTAGCTCAGTCAGAAATACACATTAAATATTCTTTGCTACCTAATACATTTTATGTTGACCATTTAGAATTCACAATGATTAAGAGAGTTAAAAGTGGCAACAACCTAAAACTCTTTCATTTTCAGGTACACAGAGCTCCAAAGCCACCCACCAACACACACCCATGCACACGCACAGGCACGCTCACTGTCTGGGGGGCAGGCAATCTAAGGCATGGCTTTTGTGGGAAGTGGAAGAACCAAGTCAGCAAGTGAACAACGCCAGCAGCACCACCTACTGTTAACAACAAACATTTCCCTCAGTCAGTTTCTCTTCATCCCCACTATTCTGGTAACTAAATCTTTCCTAAAACTTGCATCATCGTATCCACATGTAACCAAAGCACTGTAATAACATAATGATAATTTACTACATTCAATTGTATGGGATGAGCTTATGAAAAAACCAACTTGAACTTGTATAACTGTATAAAAGATGGGGTAGCCAGGTGTGGTGGTGCACACCTTTAATCTCAGCATATAGGGTACATAGGCAAGAGATCTCTGAGAGTTTGAGACCAACCTGGTCTACATAGTGAACTCCAGGCTAGCCACGGCTACATAGAGAGACCCAGTCTCAAAAAAAGAAAAGAAAGAAAAAGGGAGATAATCAGTGATTTATAAATTAACAGATCTGAAAAGAATCTCAGAAACATTTATAAGCAAGCTCTCCTGCAAAATAAACTTTCTTATTTTATAAAAGGGCATTGTACTCTCAAAGCAAGTTTTTATTAAACTTTCTCTTGGGTTCTAGTATTTCCTTACTTATAGCCATGTACCACCATGTACACTTGCCAGGCCTTTCCCCAAGAGTACTATTCTTTCTCAACACACACACACACACACACACACACACACACACACACACACACACACACAAATTTCCTTATTTGCCATGGCACCTGAGATTTGCACAGTGAAAATAACTCCTACCTAATGTAGTGGGAAAGTAAGTCCTACTACCAAGCACTCATTTCTAGGACTAATTTTCCATTTTTACAGCGTACTGTATGTAAGGCTTAAGGACCAGAAACAACCTCTCACTCTTCCTTCTACATGGTGCTGCTATGGAAGTCCCTGTTACTAGGGCAATAGGAAGTATATATACTATGGAAGACTGTTTCCGTGAGTAATTATGGGCTTCATTTCCTGTACAGAGAGGACTCACATCAGAATTCTGAAGCAACTCATAATGCCTGATACTATCTATTTAGATACTAAAAAATTATTTTGAGAAAATAGCTACCTGTCTGTTCATAAATAAGCACTACTAATAAATGCCCAGTATTATCTACCTCTTCCAAGTTCTTTTGTTCCTTATTATTGGTACATGGTGAGCAATCACCATTAGAGAAATGAAATGGAGAAAAAGGCAGTTCCAAGTGATAATAGTTGCAAGGGCATTCAATTCTATTACTGTCCATTTGTTAATAGCAAAACCAAATTTACTTAATTTTAGTTTCCTCCACAATGTATTTGCATACAAATTCAGAGCAAGCATTTCTACTTTACTAGGGGAAAGGCATGTGTCTCTAACTACAGAGAGAAAAGAAGAGACAGACAGAAAATTGAGGAAAACAGATTTATAAAAATTGACAAAAATTAAAACTCAATGTCTGCTCAAAAACAAACAAAAAAGCAAACAAACAAACAAAAAACCTCAGAGTTTGAAAAGAGTATTTTTCAAGAACAAAACTGAAGTGGGGGGAGAGTTCAACATTTATTCTAAAAACCAAATTCCTGAATTTGTAATTAATAATGACAATTCAACAGAATGTCATGTCAACTAAAATTTAGAAGTTATTAACTACTGAGCTAGCATTTTCATTACTTGATATCACCACAAAGAAAAGAGATTTCACAGTGGAAAAATAAGAAGTCAGGATGCTTCATACTGCACCAATAATCAAGGTAGTGTATCATTTAAAATGACAGGCAAATACCAGCTCCATTCACTGAATGGAAATGCTAAAAAGTGATTGATTTCCCCCAAATAGTCATTAAATTCCATGTTTAATGTCTGTACCTAAAACTAAGTATTTATTTTTTTAACTTCTCATGGAAGCGGATTTCTAAAAGGAAGTCTTCAAGACTCTGTAAGTAATAAACACTATTCTATCCCAGGGTTTTAAAACAGGACTTTCTAGAATTTGACTCCCCATACTTAATCTTTCTCTTTTGATTTCCCAAACTAATGCCTGCCACCAACCATTCTTATTTTTCCTCCCTCTTTGAAGTACAAGGAGATTCTGCACTTATGGCTCATTTGGCAATTGCTAGGAAACCTCACAGTTCAGCATTCTTTCTGAAGATGGCAAGTCTATATATAACCTGAAGTTTTACACTTACAGTGCACTTAACATGTAAAAAGAAGTTGAAATGCAATAGTTATTACATTTCAACATCCTCAAATTTCAATATCACAGATATTAAGAGATGGAAAAAGACCTGCTTGTAGAACTTTAAATGTCTGTTGAACAGAATATATATCAGTCAATATCAAAAATAATTAAGAATTTTGTTGTTTTACACTTATGTTCTACATGCACACCTTTACAAATTATGTCAAAAATAATTAAGAAATAATTTTTGTTGTTTTACATTTATGTTCTACATGCACAACTTTACAAATTATGTTTTTTCAATGTAGTAAAAGCTGGACATCATCAACTTGAGTAAACTATGGCTTTTATAACAGATTACTTTACAACATGCACAAGTAAGTGCCCTAGATAGAAATTCTAATATTGTTTCAATCTCTGCTCAGTCTATACCTGTGCTTTGCACCTCAGAAGTGAGCCTATCAAGGCACTTAAGAACACATTAGTCTTTTTTAGGGACTTCAAAGTGGGCCACAATTTACACAACACAGAATGCAAACCATCTGCATTTCAGTCAGTTAGTTGTTTCCAGCATACAATATCATAAAAAGTCCTCAAGTAACCAAAACCAGGTTAATAAAAAAAAATATATTAAAAAGAAAAGAAAATACTATATACCACTAAGACAAAATTTGCCCTTTTCAAATGTAGAGAATGGTTCTTGGCTTTCTCTAGCAACAAAATATGATTTTATATATTCAAAAGAGAAAAGGGAACCCAAGCAAGCCCCCAAACCAAAGACAAATAATCCAGATAAAAACAAAATATAACAAAAGCCCAAATACACCCACACAGCTCCAGTGGAGGAAGAATTTGCAGCTTTTTATCCTTTTATCTGTCCTTTGAGGTGAGTTTCTCAATTAGTTCTTGGAGTGGTGCAAGTTCTCTTCTGTCAATAAGGTTGAACTCCTACAAACAGAAAAACATTATTCGCTTCTAATTCCAAAGCAGATTACTACGAATACAAGCTTCTGAATTAACTAAAAGTAAACTTCATTTTTAAAATTGTTCACTACCTTAAAGAAATCACTTGACATTCTTGATGCTGTTTTTACATCTATAATATAAAAATAAATCCCCAACTCATAAAATTATTGTGGAGACTAAATATGGTAACCACTGTTAACTACTTCATGTAGTACCTGGGACACACTACCAATCACTAAGTGGAAACTATGCCAATAGCCAAGGTACTGTATCTGTTTAAGATTTGTTTATTTTGTGTGCAGCTTTCTGCCTGCATGTATTCGTGCACACCAGAAGAGGGCACCAAATCTCATCATAGATGGTTGTGAGCCCACCCACTCAGATCTATGGTGTCTGGGACCAAGAACATATGGAAATACATACCATGTGACTATGTTGTTAGCCCTGTAGTGTCTAGACTGTATGGGGTCAGAGCAAGATTCTCTAAGTTCCAAGGCCCAAGCAAGTAAGCTTCTTAATCAAAGGATGTTGCTAGGAGGGCAAGGTGTGTAAATACTCTCTAAATTGACCCCCACTACTTGCTAGCACATAGCAAACACTATACTTCATGGCTACAAAGTAAAGTAAAACTAACACTCTCAAAGGAAGAATATTTTCTCCCAAACCAACAAAACCTAAATTCTGGCTATCATTTTCTGCTAACGAAAATATTAATGCAAATATTAAGTGTTTTCTGTTGCTATGGGTCTGTAGATGAGACTGTCAACTCCTCAAGAAAGTTTTGGAAAGTTACAATCTCTTAAAGTGTGTTTTTACAGATAATTTAAAAGAAGTGTGCCTTTAGTGTAAGGAATATGTATTAATGAACATGGACACCTTTCATTAGTAAAAAGTAAAAATGACATTTATAGCCATATGTTCACCTACAAAAACAACATAAATAAAACTTGCTTTCTCCCAGGGGGAGGGAGCTAGGAGAATGAGAAGGGGAGAAGAGGAGGGATGTGGAGGACATGAGGGAGCAGAAAGGTTGAGTCGGGGGAAGAATAGAAGATAACAAGAATAGAGATACCATAATGTGATATTCAAAATATGTGTGCATGTCTGTGTGTATGTGTATAAGAGAATCTACTAGTAGAAATCCTAAATTTTTCTTTTAAAGTAGAAGTTTAAGAGAAGGGGTGCTAGAACACTTGAGACCAAGTTCACTACAGGTATGCCCAATTAGTTCACATTAGATTTACAGAGAAATCAGGCACTAGGGAAATGTCTGGAGATCTACAAAGATAACACCAGCTAACAATCTAAGCAACAGAGGAGAGGCTACCTTAAATGCCCTACCCTGATAATGAGATTGATGACTGACTTATATGTCATCGGATAGTCCCTCATCCAGCAGCTGATGGAAGTAGAAGCAGACACCCACAGCTAATCACCAAACTGAATTGGAATCCAAACCTCAGAAATCTATGGGACCTCCTGTAGTAGCTTAGTACTTATCCTTATCATGGGTGTGTACTCTGGGAGCCCATTCTACATAGAGGAATACTCCTTGAGCCAAGACACACGGGGATGGGCCTAGGCCCTATCCCAAAGGATATGATAGACTCTGATGACACCCTATGGAAAGCCTCACCATCCAGGGGGAGCAGAAAGGATATGTGATAGGTAGGGTTTTAGTTGAGGGGGAGTGGTAGGGAAGGAGGGAAAGGAGAGAGAACTGGGATTGTCATGTAAAACAATCTTGTTTCTAATTGAAATAAAAAAATCTGCAAAAAAAAAAAATTACTTTCTCCCAACCACCATCTCCTTCTAATCTCTACAGAAAGAGGAAACAAATGAACTAGTTGGCCCATCTATTCCCAACTTTTACTTTTCCTTATTATTTCTCTAATTAGAGAATTAAATAAAAGTATACTCATGTATAGTTTTTTCTTTCCTCATTTATTTGAGACAAGGTACTGACAGGTAGGTAACCCAAGCTGGCCTTCAACTCCTGATTCTCCTGCTTCAGCCTCCAGAGTACTGGGATTGTATGTAGAGGCCACCATGCCTGGCTTCTTAAGTCTACATTGAAAAGGCCAGCTCTCTGAGGTTTAAACACAGGGGAAATAAACCAGCAAGTCAATTCAAACTGTAAGGGACCTCTAAAACACATATGACCCTTTCTCTCCTCACATATAATGGATAGTCATTAACTTCAAAATCACTTAGAATGTGGTTTTAAAAAAGTAGGGGAGCAGAGCTATGATGGCAAAAGCCTTTAATCCCAGCACTCGGGAGGCAGAGCAAGCAGATCTCTGCAAGTTTGAGGCCAGCCTGATCTACAAAGTGAGTTCCGGGACAGCCAGGGCTACACAGAGAAACCCTGTCTCAAAAAACCAAAAAGCAAGTGGGGGGGGGGGATTATGTGATATTCAAAATATGTGTGCATGTCTGTGTGTGTGTCTATAAGAGAATCTACTAGTAGAAATCCTAAATTTTTCTTTTAAAGTAGAAGTTTAAGAGAAGGGGTGCTAGAACACTTGAGACCAAGTTCACTACAGGTATGCCCAATTAGTTCACATTCTGATTCCATTTTTTCCTCTACTTTGGTTTTGCTTGTTTCTGTTGGTTTAGGTTGTTGTCTACCCATTTTCTTGTTGAAACAGAATCCAATGGCCCAGGACAGCCTGAAACTTGCTAAGTAGCAGGCTGGCCTTGAACTCAATCCTTACACTTCAGCCTCTCAGAGTACCAACATTATAGACAAGTAACATTGTATTTGACTCACTATTCAGATTTCTTATTTAGCCCATTCATATGGCCTGGAAATTGACACTGTCCAAGCAAGACAAGGCATCCTTGTCTTTTAGAGCTACCCACCATGAACTGGTAGACTAAGGAAATTAAGAAGCAAAAGGCCTGTCATTATATCATGGAAAGTGTAAAACAGGATGTAGATTAGACAGAGACAGCAAGTTCTGTTCTTCTGACAGTGTACATGTATCACAGAATTCTAAAAATAAACATGAAGCAAAAAAGGCCTTATGAGTCAACTTACCTGAACAAAAAAAATAAAGTGCTTGAAAGATGTATTGAGATGTGCTTCCTCCTGAAGCTGGATCACAGGATCAAAATGTTGGTGATAAATGTGAGCATAAACTCTAAAGAGCCGTTTGAGAATTGTTTTTGCCACAGACATGAAATTCTTTGGGAATGGAACACCTAGTAGAGAGATAAGGTCCCTCTATTAATAAGAAAAGAGAACAAAGAGGCATGATTTGCCATCAAGTAGTAATAGGGCTCAAAGATTTATATATATATATATATATCCCTATTTTCATGCTCATAAAAATCTTTGAGAAGGTCTTAGCACATCATGAATGAAAGTAAACTTCAGAGCTTTTTAAAACTAATAATGACTCTTCCTTATGCCATATTGTACTTATAACATACTGCCACTTTACAAAAAGTACCTACAAGGCAGCAGATTGTTAGATTTGTCAACATTAAGCTCCACACAAATATGTGCTAACATGAATAATGTCTTTTTTTTTTTTTTTTTTTGGTTTTTCAAGACAGGGTTTCTCTGTAGCTACGGGACCTGTACTAGAACTCTCTCTGTAGATCCGACTGTCTCTGCCTCTGCCTCCCAAGTGCTAGGATTAAAGGAGTGTGCCACCAGCACCCGGCATGAATAATATATTAACCAGTTTAGTTATGTTTAATGCTGTTAATATATCAGCCACACAGATACATACAACTTAGCCATAAGGAGATCCTGATCCAGGCATAGTGACACATGTCTGTAATCTAAGCACATGGGAGGCTAAGGCAGGATGATAATGAGTTCAAGTACAACCTGAGATACATAGCAAGATCCTATCTCAAAAAATAAATAAATAAGATTTGAAATTGGGAGGATATTATCCTAAGTGTACACTAGACCCCAAAAGACTATTTCTCAATCTTACATTTTGAGTGAAAAAAAATTATATAAAGAGAGAATAAAACCATGGTTACTGGGTTAAATAAAGAGATAGGATATGAAAGAATGTAGGTCAGAGATATACAGAAAATGTCTGTAGCAAAGACAGAGGATAATCAAGTCTATAGATGTAATATAAAATATAAGAATAAAATTAATAAAAATATACTTTACTGAGATTTAATTAGTTGGGTAATTATAGATGCTTCATAACAGAATAAAATGGATTAACTGTAATACAATGCATGTTAATTTGTTCCATTATAAAAACTATTTTATGCCGGGCATTGGTGGCACACACCTTTAATCCCAGCCCTTGGGATGCAGAGGCAGGCAGATCTTTGTGAGTTTGAGGCTAGCCTGGTCTACAGAGGGCCAGGACAGCCAGGGCTACACAAAAAAACCCTGTTTCAAAAAACCATTAAAAAAAAAAAAAAAAAAAAAAAAAGACGTATTTTGATTGATGTGGTAACCTGCTATAGTTCCTGGAACAGTAATATGCTTCCATCTGGAATTTGCTACTGAAAAGGAAAACCACTAGTATTTATAATTCTTTAAAAAAAAAAAAAGAAGAAGAGAAAAAGAAAAAGAAAGGAAAAAAGAAGCCTTGCATGTTGAATACACACATGCCTTCAATCCAAGCACTCAGGAAGCAGGGACAGGCAGATCTCTAAGTTCAAGGACAGCAGAGCTACACAGACACACCCGGTCTTGGAAGAAAAAAAAAGAACTTAAATTTTAGCAAATAATAAATTAAGTCAAGAAAGAAATAGATCACTTATTTTCTTTGAAGTGTAGACTTCCAAATAATACGTATTTAAAACATCAGGTGAAAGAGTGAAAAAAATCAATTTATATGAGACAGTCACTTATGTCATGACTCAGCAAGCTCTGGTACCTCTTCTTAGACACTGCATAATAAACACACTCATCAACATAGTCCCAAGGAATCATTCAAATGGGTAGGGCAGGAAGAGAGAGACAGCAATTACAGAAACATAAAATTAAATACATCACGATTTATCCCAACTACATAAAATAATTTTACCAATTTTTGATGGGAATAATGTTTCATCATCCAGCTGGTCTTGAACCCAGGTCATCAGGTAATCAATATACTTTGGTGCAGAGCACTTGATAGGCTTTTTTATGTTTGTTCCATCTGCCCAGTGATACTCATATCTGCAATGGAAAGACGGAAAGTGCACAGAACATCAGAGAGGTATGGATGTGCACAGTTAAGTGTATGTATTATGAATGTGTACAGAGACGTGTTAAACAATCTGTTCTTTCAAGTAAACACACAAATTTTTAATCAACAGCAGCCTGTTTTGCTTTTACCACAATCCAACCTAAGTAGATCCCATCAAACTCATCCTCTATTTGATGTTCTCCTTACTTGTCCCATTATCTGTCTTTTCCTTTCTTTCTCTTTCTTTTTCTTTCTTGGGAGAAAAAAGAGCACCAGGCGTTGGTGGCACACGTTTTTAATCCCAGCACTGGGGAGGCAGAGGCAGGCGGATCTCTGTGAGTTCGAGGCCAGCCTGGTCTCCAGATAGAGTGCCAGGATAGGCTCCAAAGCTACACAGAGAAACCCTGTCTCGAAGAAAAAAAAAAAAAGAAATAAAAGATTCCTTTGCAGGTGTGGCCTCCATTTGGGGCTGGAGAGATGGCTTAGTGGTTAAGAGCAGTGGCTGCTCTTCCCGAGGACCCGGGTTCTATTCCCAGCACCCACATGGCAGCTCACACCTATCTGTAACTCCAGTACCAGGGGATCTTGTATCCTTACACGAATGTACATAAAATAAAGTTAAATAAATATTTAAAAAAAAAATGTGGGGCTGGAGAGATGGCTCAGAGGTTAAGAGCACTGACTGCTCTTCCAGAGGTCCTGAGTTCAATTCCCAGAAACCACATGGTGGCTCACAACCATCCGTTATGAGATCTGGTGCCTCTTCTGGTGTGCAGATATACATAGAAGCAGAATGTTGTATACATAATAAATGAATAAAATCTTTAAAAAATATATGTAAGTAAAAATATGTATGAACTGCCTGTCTAAAATTAACAATTTACCCTTGAAAGATCTACCTATAAATGCAAAAACTTGATCTATATTCAGGCTAAACCCTCAAGTTATTTTCTTAAATACAGCCTTTTCAATCTCTCCCTCTCCCTCCCCCCCTCTTCCT